CCCATAGGCTACTCATGGGTGGGGAGACTAGACAACCGTAGGGTTGACACATGCAAAATGCACGTTTTCGAGTGCAATATGCCGTAACCTCTTTTGTGTTTTGACTCTGTGAATACAAATTTGCATATGACAGTAAATGAAATACACAATAATATTTACTTTTTGTGACGTGTTAGATTTTCCGATATTAGGGTGTGTACGAATCTGACCTTTCTTTGTATATTTTTATAAATGTCTTTTTTGTTCTAATGTCAAGCCCTAGGCCTATGTCAAACATGGTTTTTTGTGTGTGTGTGTGTGTCCATTCTTGATTATTCATTTTAATGTAGCTTACTTTTAGTGCCTTTATTTCTCTTTTATGCCTCTGTTTCCCTTGTCATCGTTCAGACATTCTATATAGCTATTAGCTGACATCACAAAGATAGTACCGTATTTATGTTGTCAACTATTCAATGGACTTTGACACTGGTTGGTTGTTTACGTTCTCTCCAATTTTTATAGCTTCGTCACTATACTGTACTTTATATAAATGATATACATTATATAAGTGAATATGCTTAATATTTAATTCTACTTCTAAAATTAGAAAGAACGTAAACAACCAACAAATGTGAAAGTTACTAGGCCTATATAGGATTATAGGCCTATTGATATAGATATGAATTTATGGTGTCCCCCCCTCCCAATATTAGGAAATTTTTTGAAAAAGGTAACACTAAGACAGTCGTACACGGCATTCTAATCTAAAGAATTAGATTGTGTTGCTATTGTTATGGAGTCGCGAAAAATATATTCGATAATTTGTAAACAGGTTTTCTGCCGAATGACTCTAATGACTGTTGTAGGTGCGATATATTACTATATTATTATGTTGGATATTATGTTGGCATTAATTGATTATATACTCATAAATAAAATTCGCAAATACCGATGTACGGTAACTATACCAAAAGATTGTACTTTTATTCTATCATTTAGTGACCACAAGTTCAATAACAAAGAATTCTTTGAGTATTAATTTTCAACAACTAATTTATAGTAAATAACTTCATCAATATGATGCATTATGATTGGTATCCGTTGTGATACGCTTAAACACTGCCTTTACTTATAGTTGAACTTGCTTAAGTCGAATCCAAAATGACATTGAAAAATTGTTTACCTTGGATAAAATTTGACTTACAGATCGTTAATTAACGGACAACACAATTTGGCATGTAAAATAAGATCGACTAAATAAGATTCGAGTTAGGCAGAGTTGACTTAGGTAAGTTTTACTAGTATAGTATGGGCAAATATCAGTATAAAAAATTACTCCGTCAAATTTTATGATCATGATTAATATGTATATTTAACTCGTACATACATAAGGATTAATGAAAATATTAAACAAAATAACTTTCATCGTTATTAACATTATTATAAATTATTGTAAGTCAATCGTGACGTCACCACTGCAGCTCCCAATGTTATTTGCCTATCCCCCACAGTCCAATAATGTTTCAATTAGTGGACGCTTGCCCCTCATAAACAAAACAAACTGAACATTTAACGTTTACTACGCGGAGCTCTACTAATTGCTTATTATTATTATTATTATTATTATTATTATTATTATTATTATTATTATGAACAGTACTGTATACTGTAGTATAAAATAATATCCTATAAGCAAAGCTGAGCGACGTCGTGTCAGTGACTTATTTATCTGTAAAAAACGTGTGGGTAGCTCGGGCGACGGGGGTGCATATTTAAGAATAATTTGAGGATTTCATCTATGTGATCGTTTGGGTCAATTTCTCGGTGAATGGTCATTAGAGCTAAGCCTGACATTCGCTCAGTTCCCATAGTTGACCGAAGATAAGTTTTTAGTGTCCTCATTGCACTGAAACTTCTTTCAGCTGTACATGTGGTCACAGGAAGAGTAAAGAATATTGCAAGCAATTTATGGAGATTGGTGAATTGCAATCTGTTTCAATTCATTAAGCTGGTCTTGCTGTCCATGGGAAGTGTCTCCTCCGTCGATGACCACATTGCCTCCTAGTCCATCATTTCTGTCTCCAGCTCTAGTTCATCGATGTGGCGAGAATATATCTGGGCAAAGTTTCTTACGTTTGCTCCATTCTTCTCTATGCTGTACCATATTTGATAGAATGATGTATGCACCAGCATAAACAAGGCCTACTTCCTTGAAAGCTTTCTCCAAATTCACTAATGAGATGGTACGAACGGAATAGTTACTGATCTACAGTAATACGATTTGGCTGAGTCTGCTGGATGATTCGCTCGTTTAATTTGTCTGGAGACGTGGCGTGGCATTTTTGGATGGTCACTGTCGTCCCCTGAGCCTTCTGTGACCCACATATGGCGTGCTTCTTCATACCATAATATCTTGATACCTGTCAATGTCGGTTCTTCTGCTTTCTAGCATTCTCTTGGTACTTTCAATCATCTCTTGTGCCTTGCAGAGCTCCATGCTTTCTCCTTGAAGAACTGTTATTAATTTGCTGAGGGTCGTCATTCCGTGTTTTACCCCCCCCCCCGAAATTTCATCCTAGATCCCCCTGAGACATAGGGCCACGGCCTACCAGTGATTTATATAATATATTTATGACATATCTAATTTTCAATTTACTTTAATGATTGAGACAATAAAAAATGTGACATATTATTCCTATACTCACAGTATCAGGCGGTTTCTTGAAATAAGAAAATAACGTGTTTTGTTTCAATTTCTTTGGCGGTTGCTCCATGATGTAACGTGTAGTGTATAGTATGTCCACGAGCCTTGTTGATGCGCGCCAGCGTAATCAACAAAAACCAACACCAACTGAAGTACCGGTACTGTAGTAATAATATGGCATATGATCTTTTTTCTTTATTCTCTTCCCACCCCCCCCCCTCCTTTTTTCCCTTTTTTCCGGGGGGGGGGGGCTGGATCCACCCCTGGATATGTGATGATATTTTGTTCTAATGCCAAGTGCTATGTAAAGATGTGTTTTTTTTGTGTATTGATCCTTGATTCATTTTTACTGTATATTTAGTAGCTCTATTGATGCATCTGTTTCCCATATCTAAGCATTCTATAGGCCTATTATTAGAATGTCACAAAGATGATATATGCCTTGTATAGATGCCCTATAGTATAGGCCCTCAGAATATTTCAACATAAAAATGTAATATGAACTGTGACAAAACATAGCTTGATGTTAACCTACAGTACGGTAATGCACCGATGGACATATAATTGATCCACAAGTTGCCATTAGATTGAGCTCAGAAGGCCTAATCCACTATAGACCTTCCTATCGATTTTAGCATGAGATAGCAAATCTATCGATCCTCAACAATTGACAATCCATGCTTCCGTAACAGGCATGGGATAAACTAGGCCCTACTGCTTAAAACTAATTCTTCAGTCATCTAATTAAAATGTGTGGCAATAACATTCATCATATAAATGCGAGTTGGAATTAACGATAAAATGTGTCTCTAGAGGTAATTTTTATTGAGTATAAAGCCCTCGCCATTAAAAAGCAAGGCTACGACAAAATAATATATCATTAGACCTGCCTTTCCATTGGATGGAATCTAATATACTGATGTCTGAATTTTTAAGCTTCGGGTGGAAAAGAATAAATAATTTTTTCTAGTGATTATTCCCCCTTCCTTTAACTAGTCCGCTCCTCCGCGGCATGGAAAAACAAATAGGCCTGCCCTTCAATTTTCCTTTCAAGTCGGAATTATGTGTTCCCCACACACTTTCATGCTCATTACAGTCTCCAGAAATTTGCCGACAGGGGGGGTCAGTGGTGGCGCTAGCGTGATGGTGGGGGGTGGGGTTAAATTTTTCCTCCGGACAGGCCAGGGGCCGGATTTATCAAACTAGAAATCACCTTAAAGTCATATATCTTAAGTCGATTTATTTTGCTTAAGTCAATTTTATCAATTTTGCTTTAACTTAAAATTGCGGCTTAAAATTAAAAAGTCGATTGTACGTATGAACCATCTTAGACGATTTTTACGCTAAGATTTTGCAAAGATGGTTTGATAATTCATCTTAAGATATTTGCTTAGGGACGTCTAAACTTTTTTGACTTAAGATATTTGCTAAGCTGAGATTGATAAATCCCGGGCCTGGACCCCTGTCGTCCGACGCGACGGCGAGGTCGACGGATCAAAAATTTAAAAAATCAATGAATATTATGATATGCATGCTTATTGATAGTGACCTCATGTAAAACATTTATAGTGTTTTATATAAGTTATATCACTATGAGTAATTATACAATTATCATTATTAATAATAGGCCTACTCATTGTATTGCATTACCATTTAATTTCACATAGGAATAAAGAAGTCCGATGAAATTACGGAGCAAGTTTAATGTTGAAACATAGGCCTAAGTAATGTTTTAGAGACACAATAATGGATACATCTCAAAAGTAACTTTTCAAAAGTCATCCAAGTAATTCTTTTTCTATTCGAATGCCAGAATTTCCTGCGGAGGATTATTTTCTTACCCAATATTGCTTCGTCATTGGAATATAATTTCTTGGTTACTATAAAGGAAGTTATTAAGCTTACCACATAGGCTTTTCATCCCCTCAGTGTTTTCCTTGTTCACCTTAATTTAGGTTCCTGTAAATTCCCTTCCACCACTTTTTTTTGTAAGTTATCAGAATTATTAGTTCATACAGCGTCGTACAACGCAGCATGACGCGATTCGTTGTTGTGTGCGTCGGGTCTGTGTGAGTTAAACGCAGACGCGATGGTTTGCGTCGGAGCTTGGTCGTAGATTAAACATGTTTAATATTTCTCACGACGGCTCAAGACTGTCCCCGACGATGAATCGCGTCGGGCTGCGTCGTTCGACGCTGTCTGAGTTGGCCTTTATATAAAGGGCGAATTCAAAGAGAGCAGGCAACCCTCCCCTATATTTTTTGAAAATAAAGAAAAATTACATTCAAATTCAAGAAGTCTGAGATTGCCATTTCCGGGTATCTGAGGTGCATTAAAACTTCTTACGGCAGCCGGGCAGCCCAACCATACATGGTATTGGTCTGGGCCCTCCATCTGTAGAAGTCTCTCCCCTTTGCCCCACTATTTCAATCCTGGATTTACCAAAGTGAATTAATGTGTGCCGCATGCTGTCATCTCCACACATAAGTAATGGTTTTAGCTGAAGGACGTCGACCCAATCCATTCCATCACAACATCGTGTTCATATCCAACTTCCAATACCGTACAAGATGGGAATACTATGCACCACTTTAATTAAGGCTAAGAGTTTTAGTTATGAGAAAAAATCCTGACATGCCTACTACTCTGGACATGAACTTGGGATTCTGAGATTGAAAGACGGGCACCACTGCGCTGGAGCACCATTCAACTCTTAAGCATGGCACATGATTTACCGATGGTGCTTTATTTAAGTGGTACAGTATTATATATACTGTATATAACTTCAGTTACAAGGGCCAGGGATATGCAAAACAGCGAACATATTCACTCTTATAAGTGAGAATGCCTTCACAAAACAAGCATATTTAAGATGCTCCTACTAACGTCTCTCATTATTGTATTTGGTCGTGAAAAAAAAAACCTGTTAACGTGATACTGATTCGTAGGAATTGAACGCCGGACAGGAAGGCAAGCATGTTAACCACCAAGCTATTCAACTCCAATCAAAGTAATATAAGTAGCCAAATACTGTATATATTATGCAAGTATATAATTATAAAATATAAAGTAAGTATATTATGAGTATATATATAATAT